CGTGCACGGGGGCTCGCCGCCGCCCCGGGACTTTTGCATTGCCAAAAAATAATAATATTCCTAATAATAAACCCGCCCCGAGCTCGGCGAAGAAGGCGGAGGCCGCGCGCCCTCCCACGTAGCATCTCCTCCCTCAGTCCCGCGGTGCTTCGGAAAGGGGGTCATTCAGTATTAGAGCGGCCAGGCTGATCCCGGCGGCGCAGGGGACTGTGATTCCTCCTCCTTGGGGAGTCCCGCAGGCTCCGCGGGGTTTCCCCCCTCTTCCCTCCTCTTTTCCTGTAAATACCGTGCGACTCCTGAGACTGTTTATGGAGCTTGGAGCCTCATAGACGTGTTTGTACACTACAAATTCTGCAGCAGAATATTTTTTAAGGAAACGTTCGCTGTTTTTTTTCTTTTTTTCTTTTTGTAAGCTATATTTTTGTATATTTAATTGCTATTTTAAAAATTCTAATGCGTCTTTTTGCTAATCACACTATTCTTAAGGAAAACGGGCGACGACAACAAGGGAAAAAAAAAAAAAAACACCACAGCAAAACCCACAGCGTTTGCATGTGATTCAACGTGAGATGTAAATAAAAAGACGAAGCCGGTTTGGAAGCGGCCGCACGTCCTTCCGTCGTGGGCGCCCGGCCCCGCGCTGACGCATCCTGGAAATCCCCGGGTGCAGCGGGGGAATTTGGGGAGTTTTTAGGAGCCTGAGGCAGGAGGAGGGTTGGGGCCAGGTCTTCCTCCAGCGCCATCCTCCTCCTCCTTGGGGCCTTGGGAGGCGGTTTCTTCTCCCCAGGAGCATCCCCAGCCCCAAACCCCCCTTGTGCAGAGGGGAAGGGGAGGGCCCAGGGCTCCCTGCAGCCCTGGTGGCCCCTGTCCCATGTCCCCTGTCCTGTCCTGTCGCCCTCTAGTGCTGCTGCACCCCAAAGTCAGCTGCAAGCCCCGAGCTCCTTCCCGCAGCAGCCAGGGATTCAGGTCCATGCTCAGCCCTTGAGCAAGGAAGCAGAGGAGAGGTGCCAGGATGTAAAAATAACTGCAATAGTTTATTCCAAGGAAAAAAAAAAAAGTTTTACAAAATAACGCATACAATACATAAGGGAAGTGTTGGACGTAGCAGCCTGCAGGAGCTGGTAAAATAAATGCAGAGAGGAAAAGGTAACGGGAAGTTCTTCCCTCCAGGGCCCTGCAGCTCCCAGAGGCGGCTGCGGCTGAGGAATTTGCTCCTCTTCTCTATGGGACAGGGATCTCCTCTCTCACCACAGGGTGAGGGGAGAGCCAAGCTGAGCGCACAGAGGCCTGAAGCTGCGGTTTAGAAGTGCTGCTGTTGTTGGTGTAACTATTTGTGATCCCTTTCCTGGGATTTCTCAAGGAATTGAGAGTGAGGTGTCTCAGATGCCATCTATTATCCTGCTCTAATTGAGCGCCTCGAAAAGTAAATGCATTAAATCTGGATGCAGCCCTGGAGGCTACATTACACAGGCAGGAAAAAAAAAATCTCCTTTTACATGAACACCAAAAATCAGTTTTTCTTTGACCAATTTACTAGAGTAATTTAGAGCAAATTCCTGCCTCTGTGATTAGCCAAGGTTTGGAAAATACCTTCCTTCCTGATCCGTACCTGGAAAACCAGCTGCTCTTAGCTCACACTTCCTTCCCGTTGGACCAGCCTTCCGAGCAGGGCTGGGCCGCAGGGAACAGTTCCAAGGAGCAGCTCCCTGTAACTCCCATTGCCCAGCGAGGATGCGGACAACTCTTCGAGAAAGCAGGTTTTTTTCCCCAACTTTCCTTGCCTGGAGCAAAGTTACATGACACGGCCAACGTGAGCAGCACGGGACACGTTCACCCTTCTCACTAGGGATGTTCATTTTCAGAACTGAAGATCCAACTCCAGGAGCAATTTCTAAAAAGAATGTAGGGAGCGAAGTGAAGTAAGGAAGGAAAATGGGTTTACAAGCCCCGTGCTCCCCTTTGTTAACTGCATCCAAAGTGGATTCGTTCAGTAGGCAGGAAGCTGCTCCCAAACCCACGGCTCAAGAGCACGGGCAGCACCTTTGGGAGTCCCAGCCTGCAGCCACCCGGTCGGTGATTAAGAAATCCGTAAAAATAATACGATGGAGAAGAGCCCAAGCATACGAATGAAAGGAAATCTCTTTGGTATCGTTATATACAACCAGTTGTTACAATAGAGGGAAAAAAAACCCAAAAAACTATGTTACGTTGCAATTTGCTTTTAGGGGATTAGAGGGTGGTGGGTGATGCCCTCTCCTAGTGCTCTGCATCACGGCCTGTGCCAAGGGGATTGCAGAGAGCGTGGAAGGTTGTAAGGCTGCAACCAAAACCGACCTAAGCAGGCTTAGAGGCAGCAAGCCCCAGGATTCACGCCTCCCCTCCTAATACTCTGTACCCAGATAGGAGAGAGCCCCAAGCAGAAATAACCTTCCTGACAGCAGCACAGCAGTGTCTGGCAGCCTCTGCAGCGCTCGGGGGAGACGGAGGAGGTCCCTGCACCTACACGTGCCGGGGCTGCGCTGATGCCCGTGCCCCTTTGGGGATGATTCATAACCAAAACGTGACGGCTGCTCATCCCCAGAACATGAAATGCTGCTGCTGAACTGTGTAAAACACAAGCCAGGGAGACACTCGGCGCTCGAGGAGCGTCTCCGTGGACAGAAACGGTGCCAGGTTCCCAAGTTACCACTGTTGAACATGGGGAGAAGGGTACAGAAAAGGGCTGCTTGATGTAGGTAACAAGATGCCCTGCAGAGGTTGCGAGCGCAACACCCTGTTGGGTCAGTGTTGCTGCTCCTTCTGAGCAACCTACGCTGCAACTGAGCGTTAGCTTCAGCCCTTTACAAAGGGCAGCCCAAAGTCCTTTCCTCGTCCTTCCTGATTAGGTCTCACACAATTTACTGTACAGGCGCTGAACGGATGCTCCAAAATTATCTAAACGTGGGCGCTGTGACCCAGGAACTGTCCCTGCTCCGTAGGTGCAACGTACAGAATCCATGCGGAGTCAGGCTGAATCCAGGAGTTCCAGGAGGGCACCAACTGCACCAAAATAACCCTGGAAAGCAGAGAGATGGGAAGAGCTATTAACCATGCACATGTGGGGTCCTATGTCAATTCTGACAGGGGAAAATAAATTTAAAGAGCTACTTCACCTCATGTTCCAAGAAAAGTGCTTTTAACTGTCCCTTTGACCAGTAGTCTAAAGCATACGCCAGAAGCCTCATGGAGATTGTGTTGATCCGAAGGAAATTGCCAACAAAAACCACTCGATTAATGTTCTGTAATTATTAAGGGAAAAAATCCAATAATTAATCAAATCATTAATCATTCAATTTTCTGCTTACAACTGTGAAAACCTTACCCTGGAGTAAGAAAAAAAAATTCTATGTGTGTGTGCATATATATATATATATATATGCATATACTTACAGTGCCTTTTTAAAAGGACATATGCACCTTTTCAAATATATCTTCCAGTAAGACTTGCTAAACAGACCCACCAGCTGAAAGCAGAGTCAAATCCTCACTCCACATTAAAGCAGTTATATCCAGAGAAACTTCACATCACTCCAAGTACCTGTTCCTGACACCTAGGAGCAGGACTCTCTTAATGAGCTGAATGGGGGCAGCAAAGAGGAAGATTACGATGCATTTGCAGCTGTTTTTTTTTTTCAATTCTACCCAAAACAGCCAATCTTCAAGAGACGACACCAAATCAACTCGGGTTCTTGCAGCAGCAAGAGGCGTTTCAAAAGAGGGTGGCAAAATTAGAAAGAGGCACGCTGAGATGCTCAGAAAGGGCACTGGGAAGAGCCAGAAATTATGCTGAAAGAGGGGGAAAAAAGTGACTGTGCTGAAAGCCAGGATCTGCAGACCAGGAACAAGGCCTGTAATAATGTTAAATGACACTGCTTGTCAAGTGCCACCTTGGTCACTGTCTCTGGCCTCTGTCTTGTCATCCAAGAGCTGAGCAGATCTTCACTACTAACCTGGAAAAAGACACCCACAAACCCGTATCCAGTCCAATTCTGACTGGAAGGGTCAGATCACCCAGGCAGCTGTATTTGCGATTTAAGCCAGATTTTTAGCCACATTTTTCACTCACAAAATACAGTGAAAAAACAGAAGCTTTCACATTCTCTAGCCAGGAAGTGATTTTTAGTTTCTCCTCTTACCGAGGCACCAAAACCAAGTACTACCTGCTCTTTCGCTCACATTCGGCTCTGGATTTTTCTTCCATCTGCAAATTCATTAACACTTTATCCAGCTATTCAGCACCATCTTTGCACTAAAGGAGCAGACTGTGTGAGAGGCTATTTACAACATTTCTTGTATGGTTTTAACGATAAATGAAGGCAAATATTAAGTGTTTGCTAACAAAAAAAATGTAGGAGTGTGTTTCATCCTGTCAGCGCATCCAATAGGGCCAGTAAAAAGCAACGTGGAGAACTTGCCTCTGTGCCTTCATAGCCCTGTACAATGCTGCTTGACATGAATGCAACAAGGCAGCACTGTAAAGAAGCTGAATGCACAGAGATCTAGCAGAGGCCCCGGGGCTGGTGGCGCTGGGCCGGGGACACGGGAGCTGCCGCTGCGGCGCACGCCGGGGACGCGTCGGGTCTCGGCTCCCTGCTCTGATCCCCTTCACTTCTTCTCATGCTAAAGCCACTGAGGCCAAGCTTGTCTCCGAGAAGACTGTGGTGGAGAAAGAGCAGGAGGCGACTTCGCAGCCTCCTCCCTGTGCTCCCGGGAGCTTCGACATCTCCAGTTCCTCAAACTGCCCCAGAGGAGCTGCTGAACTGCTGAGAAATGAACATCACCGAATCCCAGAATGGCTGAGGTTGGAAGGGACCTCTAGAGACCATCTAGTCCAAGCAGGGACACCTAGAGCATGTAGATACCTCATTAAGTGCACACATCCGGGCTATGGAGCCGATGTTATTGGTGATGGTTACTAAAGTAGCCCTTGCGAGGTCCTCTTTGCTGACGGATTCCCGCTTCTCCTTGCTCATCATGTTCCCAAAACTGTAAAGGAAATTTTAGGGCCATGTTAAGCATTTATTTCAGACGTTAAGAACTGTGCCATCAGTAATTTCCATCTGGTACAGTAGAGAACAGTAGAAGGAATGGTAGCTCTCCTAAGACATCTAAATGCATTTTTTTTCAATCCTTGCAAAATACATCTTCTGTGAAGAAATCCCCGAAAATTCCTTACCTGGATGCTACAGCCCAGCCTGGCAATCCAAACCGCTCATAGTCTCCCCCGTAGATGTCCCGCACGAGTTTATCCACTTTAGTGCTGTCTCCATGGGATGCCATTTCCAGAGCCTCTTCAAAGGTGGAGCAACCAGTGAGAAGGCAGCAGAGACCAAAAAAGGTCCCTCCGCCGAGACTGTAACATAAAACAAAATGAAATTCACCTGTCTGCCTTGCTTTTAAAGGAACAGAGAAAAAATGGCTTGCTCCACAGAAGGCTGATTACTAGTTCTGCTTTTTTGAGTTGGGTCAGTTTGTCCCCATTCTTCAGCCTGTTCTCTTGTTGATAATAAGCTTGAAAGAACAGCAGTTCTCTTTAAATCTATTACTTCAAGTAACACCACTATGTTCAAAGCCACCTACATAGGGCATCTTTTTAAGTGATGAATTAATTCTAAAATAAGGAAATATTCACCTTCTTCAGGGCAGTGAAAATAGAAGTTGGTCTTAAAATACATATTAGGCCTGTGTGGCCACTGGAGTGGTTAGGGCACAGCTGGTCAAAACCTAGGGAAAACTCAGGTCATTCAACCCAGCACTTTTAGTGCAGCTCGTGCTGAAAAGCTGCACACAACTCACCTGCACAAACACATTCCGAGCTCTGAAATTTGGAATTTCAAGGGCATTTTGCTGTGCTCACCTGGTGCCCGTGACCCGCTTGTAGTTGTCTTTGGAATACACGGCCAAAATGCTGACCCCTGAGCCGATGTTCACCAGCAGCAGGGGATAGGGGTTCTCCAAGTTGAACGGCAGCTTCTGGCATCTTTCAGCATCCGTCGGGTTTTCAAAATAGTAGCATTCAGAGTGGCCATTGAATCCGACTGAATCAATGTACAAAACTCCTTTAATGAGGCAGTCGAGCTCATCTAGCTTGCAAAGCTGAAGGTCACCCATCTGGAGGGAAAGAAAACAGAGAAAAGAAGATAAATTAAGGAGGAGCTGGAGATGCAGAGTGCTCAGGCTCCGGCCTAGAAAAACGATTTTGCTGCCAGTTAAATTGCATCTATCATCTCCATGAGCCCTGCACAAGGGAGCCCGGATCACACAGGGGCTCTATCTTCCTCCAAGCACACGACCTGCTCCCTATCCTGGCCTTATGGGGAGCACCCTTGAAACGGGCAGAAAAACAACTCGATCCACACATGGAAGCCACGGGAATCCCACCAGCTCCCAAGGGCTGGATTCGGACCGACACTGGGAGGCACTAGCAAGACAAGCAAAGAAAAAGGAGAAGGGGAAAAAGAATAAAAACACTTTTCAGCAGAAACCAGGAGGAAGTTGTACGGTGGTTTTCCCCTCACGTCAGTGCCCAAAGTGCACAGAGGGCCTTACTGTGTTACTAGGTACATTTTCCAAGCCCCAGTTAAACAATGTATTTACCAAATAGGTATTTCACCTCTGAACAGGGATCTAACCTATAATGAAGCCACATAACGATGTCACACGCCCACTTGGGAGCTAATTCTCCGCCTAATTTGGCTGAATCTCAATGAGCTCCCTACCAGGCACGTGTGAAATGAGACCTTGTGAATAAACCACGAAGCAAACAGCAAGATGTGGACAGAGAGCAATGAGGAAGAACAACACAACGCAGATCAACACAGCTGGAGATACAGAGCACACGCCATGCAAGTCAGAGGCAATAATTTTAGAGTTACAGGAACGTGACATGGAAAGGAGCTATCTTCATTTACAGAGAGGTGTTTCCTGTGCTAGGTTCAAGTTAAAATAGTTGCGCTTTTCCCGAGCGAAGCTTTAGAGAAGCCTGGGAGTCTGCAGGGAAAGGCTGGAAGTATTTACACAAGGGTTCACTACCAGATCCCAATCGTATATAAGCCAAAAATGCCTACTGTGCGAAAGTCCTGCTCAAACTTGTGTGCTCCACCTCCCGTGGCACACAAGGTAGTATGGAGGCTGGAGAAGTGTTTCTCGCTGCCCATGTGAATAAAAGCAGGCATGTCATGAGTGGGAAAGCGTATAAAGTGCAGATTGCCTTTGCGTGCACACAGGGTAAGCTCCTTTAGCTCAAGGTGCACATCCCGAATGCCTGCGGATCCGTAGGCGATGTTGGACGTCAGGTATTTCCGGATGCTTTTGAGGTTTTCCACTTCTTCCTCCTCCTCTTCGGCCGTGATGTCCTTTGGTTCAAAATAAACAAGTTTCACCAAGGTGCCTCCAATATCCAGGCCAAACCAAGGGAAGACTAAAGAGAGAGGAGAGAAAAAAAAAGAAAGAAATGGGATATGACAGTGTCACACCAGCAATAAGGGACTTAGAGAGTTACCCCAGAGTTAACCCATGCAGTTCTCTAGGGACCCAAAACGCAGGCCCGTTTGATCCACACGTTTCCAAACGCAAAACTGGGGAGGCAAAAAGTTTAGTCTTTCTTTCAGTAATGACAGCTGAGTTTGTGAGCGTCCCCTCCACACTGAAGTACCAGAGTTCTGAATAAACGAGCACAATTCCTGGCTCGGGGATATCTCATGCTCACGAGCTCCAAACACATCACGCAATACTCAAAAATACAACCACAGAAGGTACCCCTGACTATACACGTAGCACAGGCCGCACGATACCTGAACACTAGCTGCAATGTGAATCCCTAGTTATTCCTTTTACAAAGCTCTGGTCCACAGCCCGAGCCAAGGATAACACCGGCGCTTTTACATCAAAGTGATGCACAAAGTAATTACAACACATAACGCTGAGGTAGACACTGAGTAATCTAAGATGCCCCGGGGAGACAAAAACAAATGTCTAATTGGATTATTTTATTAGTCCAATTCCCCCGTGGTACAAACTATGCATTAGTGTCAGGCCCAGCAACGTTTACAGCTGCGTTAGATAATGAGCTTCTTGGAGGAGATCAAGGGAAAAACCCGATCAGATGGAGCCTGCGATTAGAGCTGCCAACTGGAACAGGTTAATATTACTATCAAGGAGCTGCAGGAGAGAAAATAAACCTCAATAGCGGGAGCGTGTTGGGTGCCCCTCGTGTCTCGGCAGCGTCAGGGTGCCCAGATCCAGCAGCACAAACACACATTGGAGCTGAATGCTCTCCTGCCCTAGCCGCTGTGTCCTGCACAGGTAACGCAGACCCCTCAGTGCATCCGAGAGAGCTGCAAAAACCACCAGGTTCCCTGGGTCATGTCCTTAAGTCCACGGAGTTATTTTTACCTATTTACACAGGGACCATCTCCACGCATCACCGAAAAATAGAACGAAGGTGCAAGTTCTTGATCAGGAAGCACGTGCAAATTCTAACCTTGCTCCATTTGTGACGCACATGGGTTAAACACAGATGTCAAAATTCACTCCGAATAGAGAGATCTGGATGACCACCCATGGCAGAGAGAGCAGGAGCAATTCCCAGGCCTCCCATCCAGTTCCCAGGACCGCTTCCCACCCTGCCCTCCCCACATGGAGGCTGGGAGGGATGCAGCTGGCAGAGATGCCTCACTTGCCTTCAGGGATCCCAAGTGGAACAAGAACCTCATGTCCATCACCACCTTGGGGTACCTGCTCCACAACTCCTTATTCCTACCTCTCTTTTGGAAGCAAACGTCTCACGAGCACTTTATTTAATGCTTAATCCACGGACACTACCACTAAGATCCATTCTTTCAGGTGCATTTTGCTCTTTGATGCTGCTGCATCCACCGCTAGAAGAGGAGCAGGCTGCACGGGGCCGAGGCAGGGAAGAGGCTCCTCGCCCAGATCTCCTGCCCTTCTCACAGCCAGTCCCACGTGGGCCCCTTCCTGTGGGCACCTCTCATCTCGTGGAGAGATTCCCTTCCAGAAAGTTGCTGTGCGGCTGCTGCAAGATCCTCCTTTCACTTCTGGAGCACATTCCTTCCTCTCAACCTCATTTTAAAGTCAGCTATGCAGTTCACCTACCAAACTCCTCAATCTGGGGACAAATCTTTCAGATTTTAGGGCACAGGGATCACCAATGAGGTTCATCAGCCTAGGCAGCTTTCCTCATTTCCCAGGAGGAGCATCTGAATCCCAAGTGTCTCAGGACCGGACCACAAAGGAGCTCTGCAAAGCTCCGCAGAGCATCACCTGGGACAACTTCCAGAAGACAAACCTTTATGTTAATTAATTTATACCCAACCATTCTTAATTATGTATCTCTCCTTATGTACATGCTGGTCCAAAGGAAAGCATCCACAGAAGAAGGTTTTGAGTTCAACGTTAAGAACTTCTTCACTGCACAGGACAGGATTTTTTTTTCAGAGAGAGATTACAGTGCAACTTGGTCCAGGTAATTTGGTGCAGCAGCGACAAAAGCTTCTCTACGTCCCCGTTTTTAATGGAGGTACCGATCAAGGGGGTGGCACCCGGAGAAGAGGAGACACAGACAACATCATTTCAACAACATGGAGATTTGGGCTTTTTCTTCCCTCGCAGGAAGCCGGTGAACACGAACCTGCCTGGCAGCAGCAGCTCCCCCGTATCTGAGAACCACTAAAATCCAAGTCTCCGAGGGAGGAGGAAGGAAGCTCTCCTGGACCAATGCCACCACCATCTGCTACCGAGTTTGCTCTTAAAATATGGATTTTTTCCAACATCTGCTGTGCACCTGAGGGCTTTGCAGAGAGCTCTCCCGCGCAGCCACCACGGCGTTCGTGAGTGGAGCTGCTGCAGGAAGTGCAGGGCAGCATGCAGAACGGCCACATCCTGATGCCCATTTTGAGTTTCTGTGCAGTCGGGAGGCAGTGCCGGAATAACCAGCACAAAACCAGGCGGGCATCAACAGCCAGGACGGGAAATTCAGACAGAGCCTCTCTCCAGAGCAGCACAGAGCCCTCTGAGCTGGGAGGAAGAGCCGGGGCCTTCTCCTTTTCTTATGCAGGCATTTACCAGGTGGAAGATGGTGGGAAAGATGAAGGATGTCTTGCCTGGAGCACGGGAACCGGCTCACGGGAAGGGTCCCTCTTCGCCGACACCTTGCGGAAGTGGTCGGCCTCTCCGTTGGGTATTTGGACTTTTGAGAAGAAAGGCAGGAAATCCTCTTGTCCAAGCATGAGCCGGTGCCCACTCAAAAATGCTTGGTGTTCTCTTCCTCCCAGAAACTCAAACATTATTATTATTATTAATAAGTCCCAACAAGCTATTATTTCATTCTCCTCGGTTCAAACCTTGGAAGCTCCATAAGTATCTCCCTTTTCGCCTTGACACAATTAACGCTCTCCATGGTGGATTTCCTTCCTGGGACACGTGGCTCAAGCCGTATTTGAGACTGATCCTGAAGTTATGAGCCAGTTATCCAGAAGCTAAAGGGATTAATGTGCCAAGCAAGGGAGGCTGGCAAGCATCTCTGCTTCCTGAGAAATATTCAGCGTATTTGAATACTGTTATGCTGCTCGGGAAATTCCAGAGCTGAGAAGATAATAATATCCCTTAGTGTTTAATAAAAAGTGACACTGAGGCTACACTATCCTCCCATCTCTAAAAATAGGCCCTGTGAGGAACTTGCATTTTGCAGACCATTCCAAAACACAAAAAGGTACTCGAGCCAGAGCTTAGATTTGGGACTGCAAAGAAGCTGCCAGGACTACATTTTATTTGTACCTGATACAAGATACTAAAACTTTAGGAACTTAAAAAAAAATCATTTAGGTCATATAATGGATGGGGATGGATTTCATTTTATTTTATTTTATTTAGGTATAGGCTTTGGTTTGGAGCTTATAAATAACCTATATCTCTTATGCAACTCATTTCCCTTCCCTTATTGTCAAGCTGTGAAATGTTATGGCTGCTGTGAAGCAGAACCCTCCAGCCAAGCTTCTTGTACAGAAAACTAAGTCTGCAGAAAGGAGAAGCACGATCTGAAACTTGCGGGCACGACCTCAAGTCGGAGGAAAAAAAAAGGCTTTCGGGCAGGAGCAGCCGCACGGAAGAACCAGCGGGACGGGGAGAGGCAGGAAGGAAGGGGAGGAGCACGGGGAGCTGATGAAGTGGAAGTGCCAAGATGGAGCCTCCTCGCTGACCTATTTTTTCCACCAGAAAGAGCATTCATCAGAAAAAAATATATATATCTATTTTTTGCAGTCCGATCAGCTCCCGTTTCGGATTCTGTGCCCCTTGACACCACTGTCCTGGAGCCCTGTTTGGGAACCCCCTCGTTTTCACCCGGGATCTTTGAGCCCGGTCCGCAGCTGCAGGTTTCATTTTGGGCACCACTAATTCCTGGCCAGAAACAGGCTCTTCTGTGTTGTGGCTGGGGCTGAGAAACCTCCTTCTACACCAGCATTTTGGTGCTAGGAGCACTGAGCTCCTCGCGCCCTAACAAGCCAGTGCAAACAACTCCTTTAGAAACAGCTTCATGACATTTCCCGGGAGAGGCAGGACAAGAAACAGCAGAAACGAGGCCATGAGTGCACACAGGAGGGATAAAGACCATGAGCCTGAACTGCAGCTGCCCAAATCCTGCCGCTCCTGGGCTCGAGTGCCGGGGCACGGAGGCAGGACGAGCCTCAAGGTCACCGCGTTACATTTAGCTCTCCTGCAGCAAGCCAGGACCTCAGTTTTTAGGGAAACGATGACTAAGATCACGGGAACCACAGGAGCACCTTCGCCTAACACACGGCTTCACCTAACCACCCCCTAAACCTCACACCAGACATTTGCCTTTTCCCAATGCTGATCGCTGGCTCCCAACGAGCATCTCTCAACCCCCCCCGGCCCTGCAGCCCCATTTCCCTCTTTCGCTGCTATTTCCCCAGACCAGGACGGCCACGAGAGGGGCTTTTCACCTACCAAGATGGTCTCCCCGCGCCTAAACCACCACCGGGCCCCTCTGCTAATTTTCACTTCCATCCCTGTTAATTCTGCGGCCAACAGAAAATCCCACAATGAGCTCTTTAGTGCTGACTTCACAAGTCGGCCCACAATGAGGTGGCATCTGGCTTAAGAATTCCCATTAAATACAGGGCCGCACGCCCACGTCCCTCGGACAGGCCGGGGGGGCTGCCGCCGCTTCATCCC